GTTAAGACTGTTGTGAATCGTATCAAGGCTCAAAAAATTAATTCACAGCTGCTTTGCTCAACTAAACAGGCTCACCCCTCTCACTGAAATGGTGCTTTTTATTTTTGTGTGTTGTTTTTTTCTGTAAAACACTTTGAGAAGCCACATTTTAATATATCAAACAAAGTTTATTATAATAATGTGTGTGAGTGTGTGTGCACATGCGATCATGTTGGTCATTGAGAATTTCTGGGGTTCTTATGAGATGACTTGTAGGTGATACTTGGATGCTTTGGTTGGATTAGGGGTGGTACTTGGTCCAAAAAGTGTAGATGAGTAAGTGGGTGTGTAGATGAGTTCTCTTCAGAGGGGCTGCCAGGCCCAGTGGGGAGGAGAGGGCCAGTTGTGGAGAGGGTTAGCAGCAGCCCTGGGTGACTCTCCCTTTCCTGGCACAGTGGTTTAATTCTGCTCACAGAACAGGAGCCAGCAGTGGTGTTGAGGTAGGACAGCATCTTTGGACTGGGAGTCTGGCCTGAACCCAGGAGGGGCCCCTGCTGCCCATTGGGCTTCTGCCTGGGCCCATGGGGGAGGTACTGCATAAGAGACAGGCTGGGCCCAGTGATCAGGTCCCTCACCACACAGATCACTCCTGGATGGGTCATTTTTTAACCCTTTGCTCCTACTGTATTCAGTACCTTCGTCTCATGTCTCCTCTTCAAAGGCACTCTGTAAATAGTCTCCCAGCCCCTGGAGAGGGGTAGAATAGTGATCCATGATCCACCACCAGACCCACAGGAGAATAAGGACTTCGCTGCTCACAATGAACCAGGGGCGCACAACTTCTTTCACAAGTTTATTAAATAAAAATTTTAACATCCATAAAACACCATTGACAACAGTAATCACAAGCAAAAATGAAGTCAATACAATTCATCTTCTTGCCTCATCTTCAGTATTACTGGACCAGAGTGGTCTGTGGTTGAGATAATCGCCCCCCTTATCAATAATGGATTAGAAACCCACATTGCTGTGCAGCTGTAGTGAACATCCTGTAAGGAGATGGTTCAGCTGCGCAGTCGGACACCAGTGCGTTTGAGGCCTGTTAGAGACGCTGGGTGAGGAGCACCCCCAGGGCTCTGAAGAAAGGGGCTCCCTCTGTCCACGGAGATTGGACCGGGCTCTGCACCTGCCCAGAAAAAGGAGATGTGTTAAAGAGGCAGACAGAAGGGCTGCAGGCACCCTAACTGGACCCCAGCCCAACCAGAACCCCCAGCCCGGCTGCTCTCCAGGCCCTCAGACAGTTGGACACCCCAACAAGTCGTCCCCCTGCAGCCCCGGCGGCACCAGTGGGTTCAACCTTCACAGGTTCTGGCACCGGTCCGGAGCGTAAGACGCGTGCGGGTTTCATCACCGGGCCGGAGAGCTCGGGCGACCCCCAGCGGCACACAGAGACACTCGGGACACTCACCGGCGTGGAACAGCTCGGCCGGGGCTCGGCTCTGGCAACTCCAGCCTGCGGAAGAGGAGACGGGTTACTGGCGATTCGGGCGGAAGGCGGGGTCGGTGGGGGGTGGCGGTGCCGGGTCAGAGAGAACCGTCAGTCACCGATCAGTCAGACTGGGGCGGTATCGGATCATCACCCACAGACACCCCACCCCCAAGGCTGGAGCAGAGAGCCGGGCGGGAGCTTACCAAGAGAGAGAGTGGGGCGCAGGGGTACGGCCCAGGACAGCTGACCTGCAAGGGGACAGACAAGAGTCAGGGTCAGGGGCGTGCTGGTCTGCAGGCCCGGTGGGCCAGTTCTTCTCAGGGCCCGGCTGGTCAGAGGGTACCATCTCAGTCACAGAAGCTCAGTCCGGGGCGGTATCAGACACATCATCCCAGAGACCCCTCCCCAGTTTCCCTGCACCCCGATTCCCACCTCACCTGCCTCCTCTCCAGAACCTCTCAGCAGGGGGGCTGCAGGGCATGCTGGGACACCGCGAGGCGCCTGCAGGAGAAGACGAGAGTCAGCAGGACCCCAGAGACACACGGGGCGCCGATGGACCCAGAGCAGGCCTGCGGGCCTGGCCGGGTCAGAGGGTACCGTCAGTCACCAATCATTCAGTCTGGGGCGGTATCAGACACATCATCCCAGACCGGAGCGCCACAGCAGGGCGGGCCGACCCGTCCTGGACCCAAGGGCTGGAGTGCGGCCCAACCCAATCCAGGCCCGGTTCTGGCGACACTGTACTCTGGCTGAGCCCTCAGTTACACTCAAACCCGTCACCAATTTAAGGGTGAAGGCAGGCTGGAGTGAGGACCAGCAGAACCAGAACCGGAGCTACAGGGGGGTAGAAGGGCACTTGGGTCGAGAGAGCCGGGCTGACCACCAGCGCACGGCCCACTGTCCAGGACGGGCCCGGCTGCCCTGAGACTGCGACCGCGGGTGGCTCGTACCTGCAGCAGAGAGGCTCCGTCCAGCAGCCTGTGGACAGAGAGAGAGACCGAGAGCACGGGTCAGCCTGTGCCACCCCACACCTGCGGGCAGCACGGGGGACCCCCCCAGACTGACCACCCCCAGCATCAGTATTCCACTTCTCAACAGTGGGGTTCAGACGAACGAGATTCCAAGTAGAATATCATCACATGCAGGGCAGTGAGGGGTCCCCTCCCTGGGGACCCCAGCAATCCAGTACCCCCCACTACAGACAGTATCAGCCTTCCTCTCAGCCCCAACACTCACCACTAGCCAGGAGCACCGCAGTTCCAGTCACATCCAGCAGGGCGGCAGCAGCCTGCAGAGCACAAGGAGGGTGATCAGCCAGGTCAGAGGGGGCGCCCAGCCCCTGTACCCCCCCACACACGGAACCTCACAGTCGCTCAGATGATCAGGTCTTTTCACAAGGACTCAAAGTGAGCTAGTTAGCATCATCACCG